GAAGGTAGGCGGGGTGCCCATGGGCGGCAGCACCAGAAGGATATTGAATTGATCAGTTGGATCCCCGAGAAGAGCAGGCTCTAAACCAAAAGCAGGAATCTCTAGCCCACAGCACCAGAGCCCAAAAAGTACACAGAAAACAGCCAGCTGCGAAAAGTGGCAGGGTTGCTCTCTGCCAGAGACAGGCAGCTGGAGACACAAAGAGCCTTCTATAGGGCCAACACATAAATTTTTATTTGCAGCTACTTACCCTGGTCTCCAGAAAAGGCAGGGGCAGAGTGGGCTAGAGACACCTGAGGAGAGACTGGGGAAGTAGGCTTTGGGGAGAGAACTGAGAGAGTAGCCGGCATGATCTCAGTGCTGACTCATCCCCCATATAGCAGGAGCCATTTTGCTCAGGAAGAGACCACTCTCCATGAGTGGCACCAGTGTCAAAGGACCCAATATCCCAGCCCCCAAGTGGGATTCCACCCCGCCCTGTGTTGTCTAAGCTGCCTGCTGAGTGCAGAGGGGCAGCCACAGACAGTAGATCCCTGGCTAAAGGGGATGCAGAAAGGTCTGGCAACACTTGAGGAAATACTGGGGACAGAGGCTTTTGGGAGAGAACTAAGAGAGTAGCTGGCAGAATCCCAGTGTGGACTCCTCCCAAATATGGCAGCACGATGAAAGGACCCAATAACCCCGCCCCCAGGAGGGACTCCACTCTGCCCTGAGATGTCTAAGGCACCCTGCTGAGTGCAGAGTGAATACATTAACAGCTAAAGGAGACAGCCACAGGCAGCAGACTCCTGAACACTTGAAGAGACTACATAAGGTCAGAAAGGGTCAACATCTGACATCATCAGAGGCAGATCCAGAAAGTAAAAACAGCAGTCTCCTACCATACAAGTTCACATCACAAAGTCAGGAAATCAAGACGGATCAACTTAAGAAGCAGAAGCAAAAGAGAAGAGTCTCACAAATAATGGGGAGACAAAGAAATATGCCAGACTCAAAGGGAAAAGAGGAATCCCCACAAAGACAACTAAATGAAATAGAGGAAAGTAAACTGTCAGATATTGAGTTCCAAGCAACGGTTCTACAGAAGCTCAATGAGCTCAGTGAGCTCAGAGAGAATTACCAAAAACTACAGGGAAACTACGAGGAACTTACTGCAAACTATATCAGCATGAAAAGGGACATAAAAACTATCTGTAAGAGACAAGAGGAAATAAAGAATACAGTTTCTCAATTGAAGAACACAGTAGAAGGAATCAAAAGCAGGCTAGATGAAGTTGAGGACCGAATCAGCAAGTTGGAGGACAAGGTAGAAAAAAGCTCCCAGAAAGAGCAAGAAAATGAAAAAAGACTCAAAAAGAATGAAGAGGCATTTAGAGAAATGCAGGACAACCTGCAACGTAATAATATTCACATAATAGGGATACGAGAAGAAGAGGAGGAGGAAAGGATAGACAACCTGTTTGAAAAAGTAATGAAGGAAAACTTCCCAAATGGAGGAGAGAAAAAGCCACACAAGTCCAGGAAGCACAGAGGGTCCCATTCAAGAGGAACCCAATGAGGCCCACTCCAAGACACATCATCATGAAAATGGCAAATATCAAAGACAAACAGAGAATCCTAAAGCAAGCAAGGGAGAAAGAGGTAGTAACATATATGGTGGCCCCGATATGGCTAGCATCTGACTTCTCAACAGAAACCCTGCAACTCAGAAGGGAATGGCAAGAATTATATTCCAAGTTATGAAAAGCAAAGGCCTGCAACCAAGACTGCTCTACCCAACAAGGCTCTCAATTCAAATGGAAGGCGAAATAAGGAGTTTCCCAGACAAAAGAAGGCTAAAAGAATACACCTCCGTGCAACCAGCACGGCAAAATATGTTAAAGGGACTGCTTTAAGATGAAAAAGTTTCTATGAATACCCAGTTCCTTTCAGAGTCGCCAATACTTGATATTACCAATATTTTTAATACTCATTAATCTTATTGTGACAATATTATTTCAATTGTTCCTTAACTATCTGTTGAAACTGAACCTATTTTAGTATATTTCTTGCCTATTTCTATTATTGTTTTAAAAAATCTTTAAATGACTTTTTGGTATTCTTTATCCATTTATTGATTAAAAGTTTGTAGAACTTTTTCCCTAAAAAAAAACAAAACAAAACAAAAAACAAGACAGAGAAAACATATTAACCATGTTTTAGATGTGTTGCAAATACTTTTCTATTTCTGGTCCTTTAACTTTTTTATATGTATATTACTATATAGTTAAACGTTTAATATAGTCATATTGTCAATATTTACTTTATAGCTTCTGGGTTTGGATATTTTACTTCAGGTCATGAAAAATAATAGTTCTATTTTCTTCTAAAACTCCTTAGATTCTACATATTGATGTTTACCTCACCTGAATATTTCTTGTATAGTGTGTGAAATAGGGCTCTATATTTGCTTTATTTCACGTAATAGTGGTCCATGCACCTTATTTGTTGAATAAGCCTTATTTTACCCATTATTTGAAATATAAACTTAATCATATATTATATTGTTAGACAGAATTATATGTTTGTCTCTAGAATGTTCATTATATTTCATTGATCTACTTGATTATTTCTGTGCTGATGCCATGTTGGTTTAATTGCTGAGACTTTATAATGGTTTTAATTTTTTTAATATTTTATAATTAACTTTGACATTTAAAAAATAAATAAAATCAATCTGCATTTAAGAAAGAAAAAGAGAGACGGAACTCCTAGCTTTTGCAACAATGTAGATGGAACTGGAAGATATTAAACTAAGTGAAATAAGGCAGTTAATGAAAGACAATTACCATATGATCTCACCTATAAGACTCTATTCAACAAAATAAACTAACGAACAAAATAAACCACAGGCACGGAAACATGGAGCCGACTGAAAGTTATCAGAGGGGAGGTGAAAAGAGGACAATGGTGAAAAGAAGGGGAAGGGACTAGACAAAGAACATGTATGAATGACCCATGGGCATGGACAATAAAATGGGAATTAACTGTGGGAGTGGGAGGTGGGGGTGGGGTGGGTGGAGGGGGGTGAAGGCATAAAAATTGAGGCAACTATAATAGAATAAAGATGATGTATAAATAAAAAAATAAATAAATGTTTGCAAAAAAAAAAAAGAAGCTATACTAATCTAAAGGTCTTCACACAGTGGAATACACGCAGTGACTTCAGGTTACTGGACATGCCTCCCCAACAGCCATGCCCTAGGATGCCTGCAGAGGCCCCAGGCCAGGTCTGCATCAGCATCTGCTGCAGTGCCATCATGAGGGAGGATCTGGAAAACTTCATTTTTGTAGGGCTGCTGGTGTGCCTGCTCTACCTTGTAAAGTGGGTGAGATTCTCAAATGTATTTTCCTGCACTTCTAGAAAGTTTTGCCAAAGTCTTTCTTCAAGTCAATGGGAGAGTAGGCAGGTAAAGTAAGTGTTACAACTCCTGGTTTTTATTGTTCCTACTTATTATTGTTTGTGTCTCAAAAGATATTGCATCTTTTCCCTTTCAGATCACAGGATACATTTTTACCGGTGGAATTATTGGATCAAAGAGCATGTACATCTTGAGGCTTCTGAATCATGTGTCCAAATGGACCTTGTACCAGTATGCTCCCACCAGCACACTTTGAGAGTGCCCTCCCTCCACACCCTCACTGCGCTCTGGGTGGAGAGAGAGGTGGACCTTCTCCAGTATGGATGCCAACATTTCTCTCGATGGTTCCATAAAAGCCCTGCCTCAACCAACCTTATACAAGAAATCTGATAGAAGCACTAAAATTTATTCTTTCTTCTATTATGTTTTCTTTTTCTTTTTTTTATCCTCAACTGTGAAGACATTTTTTCATTGCTTGGGTTACAGGACGATGCTCCAACCAACTGAGCCATGCCAGCCAGGGCGCTATTATATTTTCCAATTTCAAAATAGTAACTCACGTGCCCCTGCCAGCGTGGCTCAGTTGGTTGGGTGTTGTCCCACAGAGTGGAAGGTCACCGGTTCAATTCAGTCAGGGCACATGCCTGTGTTGCAGGTTCCCTCCCCTGTCAGGGTGCATGCCAGAGGCAACAGATCAGCTTTTCCCTCACATTGTTTCTCTCCCTCTCATTCTCCCTCCCTTTCCCTCTCTCTAAATAAATAAATATTTTTAAAAATAGTAGCACGTATTTACTTACATACATAACACAGTTGGCAAAGAAAGAGGACACTTTCCTATCAAATGCCCCCAGGACTCTAAAGTAAAACTGTCCCTCAATGCATGCCCCCAGAATAGGTCTCAGCACTTCTTTGTTCAAAGGGTCTCTCACTTCCTTCTTCCCCTTGCCATTATCATGACCAGCAGTGACATTTCACACCTTTATCATCTTGTACTCAGACTTATGGTGGTAACATCCTAACTGGCATTCTGATCTTCAGTGGCCACTCCTGTCCCCTTCCCAACTCAGAATCATCCTGCACAGAAATCAGCCACATCCTTTTCCTCTCATCCTGTCATTCCCATGGTCACAAAAGGCTTTGTTGCCTCCCACGGTCGGATAGAGTAATGTGCAGACACCTCAGTTTAGTAATCAGGGACCCCTTCCATGAATGGGACTCACCTCAATTGCTGGACTATATTTCTCATCACTTCCTTTCCCACGCTTTGCATTCAGGCAGGCCAGCCTCCTTTCTGGAACAGGATTCCCACCTCCATGCCTTTCCTCCCCCCTCTCCTCCTTCCTCCAGTGCCCTTCTGCCCTGTTTTTATCCTATCCTTCAAGCCCAACTTACATAGGTGTCCCCTCCTCTGTAAAATTTTCTCTCAGCAGTATTGACCACAGAAGTTTCTGCTAGCTCTAAGCACTAATAGGAAGCAGCTGTCCATGATCAGTGTCTCCTGATTTTGATAATATCTTTCTGTTTCCATACATCCTGCCTTCCCAAATAATCATAAACTGAAGAACATGATAAATTTCTTTTTTTTTTTTTTGTTGGTTAGAACACACAAGTTTATTGATGAAACACAAGTCTAAGATTAACAAATGTGAACCAATACAAAAGTATGGGTTATTTATATTTAATTTGCTGTCAGTTTAGGTAAAGAGTAAAAATATCTCAATCTAGGTAGAAAGATGGAGTCAACAAGTGCTTTCTTTGTACAAACTTTAGTATTCATTTGGCATCCTCTAAAAACAGGGGTGTGCAACCGCGGCTGGAGAGCTGTATGTGGCCCAAGATGACTATGATTGCAGCCCAACACAAAATTGTAAATTTACTTAAAACCTTTTCTTTGCTTATCATTTCTCACCTGTGTTTGTGTATTTAATGTGTGGCCCCAGGCAACTCTTCTTCCAGTTTGGTGCAGAGATGCCAAAAGGTTGGAAACCCCTGCAAGTCTAAATGGTGCAGCCTAAAACCAACCATCACTACCAGCATCACTGTTGATCTGTGATAATCATTATTACAAAATAGAAGCTGAAAGTATCTTTTTTGCCATATAAGCACAGTGAAAAACAAAGAATTTACCAAGTACATTGTTTCCATGTGCAACATTAAAAAATTATCTTGATATTGTTTGGGGCAGACCCCCAATCAAAGTTTGGTCAATACTTTTAGAACTTTTACTTTCACCACCAGATCATTGTGATTTGCTAATGCTTTGATTTTCTTAACACATACCCCAGATTCTTTGAATAAGAAAAAAAGTGAACTTCTGCTGAACTCTTTCCTAGATGATGCTAGCCCTTCGTTTTTTATGTTGTCATTTATATTCTCAAATAAGGTTAGGATATTAAGAAGAATCTCTCTGTCCCATTCTTTATTAAAGAGGGAAATCAATTCTGATGGAACTTTACAACTGACCAGCTCTCTTGTCATGGCTGGATTTTCAGTAAAATTTATAATAAGTTTCATAATCTGAATCTTGGTGAAGTAATTTCCCAAGAATAACAAAGCAAAAAAGTCTGGAAAAGAATAGGAAAGCAAATGTTGGTAATGATTAGTTACAGTCATGTTGGTTAACAGTCTTAGTCCAGCCATCTGCACAGCTGAGTCCAAGCGACAAATCATGGTGTCATCACACACTTGACTGATATACATCTTAATCTTGCCCTGATTTTCAGCATTCACACTCAAGTTATTAAGGGCATTGTAAGCTTTTTCCCTAATAATGGGATCTTTTGTTTTTATCAGTTTTGCAATAATTGGGAGACCACCCAATTCACGAATGGCATTTTGGTTAAATGAATATGCTGCATTGTTACCAAGAGTGACCAAGGCTACTTCTTGAATAAAAGGGTCATTTGTTCTTTCCAGGATATTAAGAACCTTTTGAAGGTCTGAAGCACCTAGAATATCATCAATTTTATAGGGAAAGTTGAACTTGCCCCTGCGAACAGGCCATGCTGTAGCTGGAGTCCTGGTGCTCTTAGCTCGCGCCCTTCCCTTGCACTTTCCACTTGCCCTGCTCCCAGCCCTAGCACCATTCCTAGTGGGGTGACAGCCTCCACCCCTGCCTCCTGGGCAAGGTAAACTTGGTGCAAGTATCCTGGTCCCAGAGATGGTACCCAACCTGGTCCCTTTACCTGTCTTTGATCTTGCCTGTTCCTTCAGGGTATTGAAAAGTGCTTTGGCCTTGGCCTCTAAGCCACTGCCTGTCTGGGTCCCTGCGTGGGCTCCCAGTTTTGCATCTGGACTACTTTTGAGTTCCACACCCACTTCAGCCTTGGCCTTTAAGTCTCCCTGAAGTCTAGCTCCAGCCCCCACCAAAGTATTAGCTCCTTTCCCACTCTCTACCCCAGTCTCTGTAATATCACTAGATTCCTCATCTTCATCATCATTGTTGTAGTCCCAGATTTTCTCACTGTCATCTCTTCCCCAGGTCAGTCTATATACACAGTAGCAAGCACCAGCCCCAATCACTACGCCAGCCACCACACAGCCAGCTTCCCGAGTACGACCCATACTGAGGCAAATGTCTGAGCCAAATTCTTAACCAGGGCAGAAAGGGCTTGCTGTGGCTCAGAGTACTCCCAAGTCCAGGGTGGAGTCTTTAGCTATAGCTGGCCAGCTGTGCTGCAGCTGGAGATACAGCAGCACCTAGGAAAGAAGGAAAAATTTGAGGCTTCGATCTCTTTGTTTTGTGTCTTTTCATGCAAACAGACTAAACTACAGGCCAACAAAGGGATGGGGGCTCTGGGCTAGATCACAGATTCCTTTCCTCCATTGGTTAGGTAATTTTGAAAAATTTCCCCACCTCCAGATTCACCAATGTCATGTTCAACTTCCTCACCTCAGTTTGTTCAATTTAAGGTATCTAATCAGTTTCCTACCTTCTCTGCCCCTCCAGATGTCCTGGGGGCATTGGCACCCCCACACATATGCACACAGGTCCAGTTTCTCTCTTTTCTTTCTTGCCTGAAAGTGCAGTGTTCTTTATGCAAACCTGCATACAAAAGGGAAGGGGAGAGGATTGCTGAGAGCTCAGGGGACAGATGATCTCACTCGTGACTGGACACAGGTCCCTCCCCTGAATCCCTTGGCCCTCTTCCTCATAGACCAGTATTTCCCACCTAAATTGCACTCCTCTTCTCACAGTGCTGCAGCTTTGAAATTTATCAGCTCCCTCCCCCACCTCCTTCCCTGTAACAAAATCGATAGTGATGGAGTGAGACTGCCTAGAAGCCAGGCGGGTAAAATGCAAAAATGCCTGGAATTTCACGCTTGCTTCTGCCACCTCCACTGCCTCAGAGTTACCAGGACATTCCTCCTCGACCCATTATACCAACTCCCACTGCTCCGGAGGAATTCCCTTCACCCCTCATCCCGGTTTCTACCTCCACCAAACCTAAAGATTGACAACTCTGGGACTGAGTGAGTGATGGACAGACTGATACAAAGGACTGTACCCCAAAGAGTAATTTGAAGAAAGGTTCCCTCCCTACCCACACTCCAAGACTCTCGTGACACCATCCCTTTCTTAGCCACTTCTTTCCCTGTCTTATATTAGCAGAGAACTTTTCTTTTGCAAGCTCTGAAATGGTGTAGAGAGAAGGGAAGGAGGGAGATGCAGAAGAGATCCATGGGCCCTCTCGAGTTTGCAATCTCCACCATTTTCCACTGCAGGGTGCCCCAAACAGTGTCAGCACCCTCATTCTGACCTACTTGTTTATGGACAATGTTCCTCTTCTTCCTGCTCTCGGGTCTGATAGGACTTCAGGCGCAAGGTCCACAGACAGACTGGCGACTCGGCAGAGACGGGTGGGTGGGCTGACAAAACAGCACTTCAGAGTCCCAACACCGACCTTTCCGAATTCAAGTTTCCGGGAGTTAAACGGATTTTACCTTTTGTTTTCTCATCCTACCCCCACTTCTCAGGATCCCGCGGACATCAGCCCTTGTCCTGCATTGCGTCCACCCACGCCCTCCATCCTCAGTTCACGGCCATTTTCCCAGCAAAAACCACACCCCTTTGAAAGAACTGGAACGAAGAGAGGCGGGGGGAAGGGAGAGAAGTATGGAAAATGGGCGGAGAGAAAGGATCTCTTCTATTCCCCTTCCTGAAGCATTCCCACCCCCTTCCCATCCTCCGCCCTTAACAAACATTTTTTTCTGATAGGCTCTGTCACATCCTTTTTCCTACATAAAATAGCAGGAAAATAGGTGGAGAGAGAGAGCCATTAATGGGCCCAAGTTAGGGCAAAGACCTCAGTCATTTCCGCCCTTCTCGTGGGCCGCAAGGCAACCCACCCTTTAACACCGATATGCAGGGATTCCGGGCAGATTCTTTCTTCCTTTGCTCCGAGTGGTACAGCGCACTACTGAAAGACTTGCAGAACAACAGATGGTCAGACAGACCCAAAGCCCCAAGATTCTCGGTTGGCAGATGACCCAGGACCTAGGACCCAGGACACACGACACGAATCTTAATGGAATGCCCTACCGCATTCAATACCCTGGGTGCCAAAGTTTCTCCCCTCCTGATCTGAGGTCTCTCCTGTAATGCAACCCCCAACATCCATCATTTTCATTCTTCGAAGGGCAGAGGATAATGCAAGGGTACAGAGAAAGCAGACCTTGTCCTTTTTCATTTGCACCCTCCTCAACCCGCACAGCAGGGATCTCCCAGGCAGCGCCAATCCACACAGATCTGCTGGGATCTGGGCAATTACTTACCTCTGCCTGATTCCCAGGCCACAGGCTCGCCCTCGTTTGGGGCAATAGACAGATGATAACCAAAGCAAAAGAAGACTAACGTTAGAAGGACGTCTGCACATGTCAGCGTTTGCCCACGTGAGGGCTACGTCACCAGTGCGCTCAAGACCTCAATTACCACTCCTGCCAGCAGTGAGGCTGGACCTGGCCCACCCCTTTTCTTCCCTGGCTACATCAGGTCCCGCCACTCATTTTCTTCTGTCAGTCACAGAAACCAGGGATATCTTCTTCTGATTGGAATCTGCCTTTCTTAACAGGGACAGACTGCATCTGCTCCAATTTCATTGGTCTTTTCTCCCCCTTTGGAGAATATTTTTTTCCCCTTATTCTTGTCCAACAGCCAGCAGTGAAGGTCCAGCAAGAAAGATCTCAAAAAACGATATAGGTAGCGGAGTCTTTTACTTCCTTAAACTTTTCTGTTCATTTTTTTTAATCAGGGATACATTACTTTTAAATCTTTTTAAAAAAGATTATATTTATTTTTATTTTTTTAGACAGAGGGGAAGAGAGGGAGAGAGGGAGAGAGACATCAATGCGTGGTTGCCTCTTGTGTGCCCCCTACTGGGGACCTGGCCCACAACCCAGGCATGTGCCCTAGACCAGGAATCAAACCAGTGACCCTTTGGTTCACAGGCCGGCGCTCTATCAGCCACACTAGCCAGGGCTAAGTAAAGAAAAATCTTAAAAATAAATAAATAAAAGCATTATCCTTAAAAAAAAAAAAAAGTAGTTTCGTTTTAAGTTTTTGAGGAAATTCCGTACTATTCTTCACAGTGGCTGCACCAGTCTGCATTCCCACCAACAGTGCACTAAGGTTCCTTTTTCTCCAGACTCACAAGTACTTCTTGTTTGTTCATTTGCTAATGATGGCCATTCTGACAGGTGTGAGGTGATATCTCATTGTGGTTTCAATTTGCAACTCTGATGGCTAGTGATGTTGAGCATCTTTTCATATGCCTATGGGACATCTATATGTCCTCTTTAGAGAAGTGTCTATTCAGGTCCTTCATTTGTTTATCTGGTGTATTATATTTATTGATTTGCAAATATTGTACCATCCTTGCATCCCTGGGATGAATCCCACTTGATCGTGGTGGATGATCTTTTTAATGTATTGTTGGATGCTGCTTGCTAATATTCTGTTAGGATTTTAGCATCTGTGTTCATCAGAGATACTGGCCTGCACTTTTTTTTCTGTGTATGTCCCTACTTGGTTTTGGAAATAGGATAATACTGGCTTTATAAAAAGAGTTTTGGAGTCTTCCCTTTTCCTGAATTTTTTGGAATAGTTTGAGAAGGATAGGAGTTAATTATTTAAATATTTCATAAAATTTGCCTTTGAAGCCATTCGGTCCAGGGCTCTTGTGTGCTTGGAGTTTTTGATTACTGCTTCAATTTCCCTGGTTGTTATAAGTCTATTCAGGCATATGCTTCTTCTTGATTCAGTTTCGGAAGACTGTATGTTTCTAGAAATTTATCTATTATGCCCAAGTTGTCCAATTTTTTTCTCATATAATTGTTCATAGTGATTTCTTAAAATCCTTTGTATTTCTGTGATATAAGTTGTAAATTCTCTTTCATTTATGTTTTTAATAATTTGAGTCTCTTTTTTTCTTGATGAGTCTGTTTAAAGGTTTGTCACTTTTTTTCCATCTTTTCAAAGAACCGGCTCCTGATTGCATAGATCCTTTGAATATTATTATAGTATCTATGTCATTTAATTCTGCTCTGATCTTGATGATTTCCTTCCTTCTACTCACTCTGGACTTTGTTTGTGTTTCTGCCTCTAGTTATTGTAGACATAGGATTAGGTTGTTTATTTGCAATTTTTCTATCCTTTTTGGTAGACCTGTATTACTATGAACTTCCCTCTCAGAACTGCCTTCATTGCATCTCATAGGTTTGGGGTTGTGTATTCATTTTCATTTATTTCTATATACTTTTTGAATACTTCCTTGATCTCATTGTTAACCCATATATTATTTTTTAAAAAAATTATTGTTGTTCAAGTAACCCTCCAACCAACCCTCCTCCCCTGTCATCTGCACTTCCCACCTTCGACCCTACCCCCTTTTGGCTTTGTCTATGTGTCTTTTATACATGTTCCTTGATTACCCTTTGTCTTTTTCAACCTGTTATCCCCTATGCCTTATCCTCTGGTAACTGTCAGCTTGTTTCTTATTTCAATGTCTCTGGTGATATTTTGCTTCCTTCTTTATACTGTGGATTAGGTTCCACTTATAGGTGAAATCATGTATCTGTCTGTCACAGCCGGGCTTATTTAACTTAGCATAATGCTCTCCAGATCCATCCATGCTGTCACAAAGGGTAGGAGCTCCTTTCTTTCTCCTGTATAGTATTCCATTGTGTAAAAGTACCATAATTTTTTGATCCACTCAATTTATGGATGGGCACTTAGGTTGCTTCCAACACTTGGCTATTGAAAATTTTGCTATGAACATTGTGGTGTACAGGATCTTTTGAATTGATGTTTCAGAATAATTAGGGTATATTCCCAGCAGTGGACTAGCCAGGTCAAAAGGCAGTTCTATTTTTAGTTTCTTGAGGAAATCCCATACTGTTATCTACAGCGGCTGCACCAGTCTGCATTCCAACCAACAGTATACTAGGGTTCCCTTGTCTCTCCACAACCTCACCAGCATTTGTTGTTTGTTTATCTGTTTATGATGGCCATTCTGACTGGTGTGAAGTAGTATCTCATTGTGGCTTTAACTTACATTTCTCTGATGGCTATTGATGATGAACATCCTTTCATATGTCTCTGGGCCCTAGTTATGTCCTCCTTGGAGAAGTGTCTGTTCAGGTCCTTTGACCATTTTTTAATTGGATTGTTTGTCTTCCTGGAGTGGAGCCCTGTGTGTTCTTTAAATATTTTGGAGATCAAACCCTTGTCTGAGGAATCATTGGCAAATATATTTTCCCATACGTTGGTTCCCTTTGCATCCCTGGGATGAATCCCACTTGATCATGATGGATGATCTTTTTAATGTATTGCTGGATGAATTTTGCTAATATTCTGGTGAGGATTTCAGTGTCTATGTTTATCAATGATATTGGCATGTAGTTTTCTTTCTTTGTCATGTCCTTATCTGGTTTTGGGATTAGGATGATGCTGGCCTCATAAAAAGATTCTGGGAGTCTTTCCCCTTCTTGGATGTTTTGGAATAGTCTCAGAAGGACAGGGGTTAACTCTTCCTCAAATGTTTTGTAAAATTCTCCTGTGAAACTGTCCAGTCCAGGGCTTTTGTGTGTGGGGAGTTTTTTGATTACTGTTTCAATTTCACCAGATGTTATCCATTTGTTGAGACTTTGTACTGCTTTTTCATTCAGTGTTGGAAGGTTATATTTTTCTAGAAATGTATCCATTTCATCGAGATTTTCAAATTTCTTGGCATACAATTGTTCCTAGTAATTTCTAACAATCCTTTATATTTCTATGGAATCAGTTGTAATTTCTTTTATTTCTGATATTATTTATTTGGGTCCTCTCCTTTTTTCTTGATGAGTCTGCTTAAAGGCTTGTTGATTTTGTTTATCTTTTTGAAGAATCAGTTCCTGGATTTGTTGATCCTTTGAATTTTCCTTTAGTCTCCATGTCATTCAGTTTTGCTCTGATCTTGATTATTTCCTTCCTTCTATTCACTCTGGGCTTACTTTGTTGTTGTTTCTCCAGCTCTTAAAGATGTAAGTTTAGGTCATTTAATTGAAATGTTTCTATCTTTTTTAGATAAGCCTGTATTGCTATGAACTTCCTTCTCATAGGTTTTGGACAATGTTGTGTTCATTTTCATTTGTTTCTGGAAACTTTTTGATTTCTTCTTTCATCTCATTATTAACCCATTCATTGTTTAATAGCATTCTATTCAGACTCCATGAGTTTGAATATTTTTGAGTTTTACCCTTGAGGATGGTTCCTAGTTTCAAGCCCATGTGGTCAGAGAAAATGCTTCTTATGATTTCAATTTTCTTGAATTTGTTAAAGATTGTTTTGTATCCTATCATGTGCCTATCTTTGAAAATATTCCATATATACAAGGACTCATGGACAAAACCAAAGGGGAAGAGCTGAGGGAGGGAGAGTGGGAGGGAGCAAGGGAAAGTGGTGGGGGTAGGCAGAGACAAATGTATTTGAAAAAATAAATTAAAAAATATATAATTTTTAAAAAAGAAAGAAAATGTTCCATATACATTTGAAAAGAATGTGTATTTTTGTTCTTTGGGATGAAAATTTCTGTATATCTTAGTTACGCCCACTTGATCTAATTTGTCGTTCTATTCCACATTATCCTTGTTGATATTTTGTTTGGAAGATCTATCCATTATTAATAGTGGGGTGTTAAAATCCCCTACTATCAGTGTGTTCCTGTCTATATCTTTCTTGAAATCCTCCAAGATTTTCCTTATATATGTGTGCTCCTATGTTGGGTGCATTTAGGTTTACAATGTTTATGTCTTCTTGATGGATTCTTCCTTTGAATATTATTAAAGTGTCCTTCTGGATCTCTTTATATGGCCTTTTGTGAAATCTATTCTGTCTGATATAAGGATTTCTACCTCTGCTTTTTTTCCCTGTCAATTTGATTGGAATTTTTTTTCCCCATCTCTTTACTTTCAGTATGTGTAGGTCCTTTGTCCTGAGCTTGGTGTCTTGTAGGCAGCATATGCATGGGTCATGATTTCTTATCCATTCAGCTACCCTATGTCTTTTCATTGAACCATTTGATCCATTTACATTTAAAGTTATTATTGATGGGTAGTTATTCATTTTTTTCCCTTTGTATCTGTGTTCCTCTTTTTTTCACTCTTTTTCTTTATCTTCCTGAAGCAGTCTCTTTAGCATATCTTGCAATGCTGGTTTGGTGGAGGTATATTCTTTTAACCTTCTTTTGTCTGGGAAACTCCTTATTTCACCCTCCATTTTAATTGAGAGCCTGGCTGGGTAGCGGAGTTGGTTGCAGGCCTTTGTTATCCATTACTTGGAATATTTCTTGCCATTCCCCTCTGGCTTGTAGTGCTTTTTTGAGAATTCAGCTACTAGTTGTAATG